CTATGATCATTCGACAGACTTCAATGCCAAAGATCGTGCGCGTTGAAGTCACCAACTACCATTCGGTTTTCACCTCTGTGGAGCGCCCCTATTTCAGGGTGATATCCTGTCGGGCAGCTGGTAAGCAGGGGGACAGCCTGGAATGGTATCCCTGTGATCGATAGTTGCTACATATCGTTACCTTAATTCACAAAGGCCCTAACCAATAAATACGAGTACTTCTTCGATCATACCCGGGAGTCCGATGCAATTAAACTGTAAGAGTTTTGACTTGGGATGTTCATATAGTGTGTTAATAGGGCTTTAAGAGCACTTATTATAAAAATACCAGTAATTATACGAGTATGTATGATTTTTAAAAATGGTTTACATTTGTAAGTCTTTTATTATTAAAATTGTGTACGACGATGAGCAAATCGCTTGTTGCATCAATTTAAAAGAAATGCATAGCAGAAAAATTAAATACATTTTCTTTTTACAAATCCATTTAAATAGAGATTAGATATTTATAATTATAAGAATGTATTTTATAAAATTTTTTCATTTGCAATGTGCAAAAACACTTCAGTACTGTAAACTACGTTTCGTTCCTATATCGTCTAGTATTTGCCGTAATTCTTCATCCTCGAAACGTCCTTCTAGCGATGGTATCAACGCCTTTGCTTCCTCAGGCGCTTCGGGGCAGAGGTTACCCAGTGCAGCTAATTCGAATTTGTGCAATTTTTTCTGCATTAAAAGACTGGGGAAAACCATATTTTGAGCACATTATTTCAGACATTTTATTGAGAGGATTTTATGAAAAAAAAAATATAACTTTGATTATGTTATGGAAGGATAGTTTTGAAGGGTCTAATTGTGGTTTTGGAAAAAGATGTAAATGAATGTAAATTATAATGAATATCGTTTTTTCTTACTCACCTGCGCACCGCTGCGATTGTTTCTTTATTTTTGAATTTACGAAAACTATCCGTGTATGCATATGTTTTCATAAAAACTTCGGAGAATTCCTGCTCCTCATCTGCCGATTCGTTTTGACGTTTGCGATGGTCAAGCAACATGTGTACTTCAGAAATTAGTAAAGTTTCGGCGTTTTCAAATTCTGTGAAAGAAAAAGGATATATAAATAAATTTCTTAATTAACGGTGAAGCAGCTTATAGCAATAATACGCATTTGCATATACGTAATACAAGTGAAACGACAACTCAAACTAACATCTATAAATGGTTTTCAATTGTTATCGATTTCTTAGATTCGAGTTACGAAAATTTATACACGTCACGTGGGTCTATTTATATGGCCATTTTCTATCAGAAAATCATATATTTGCCGAGTTTTGTTGACATCAATCTTTATCAAACGCCTGGCATCGGCCAAACGCAAATGACCCATTTTCATATTTTCCGCTATTAAGATGTTTTTGTAATCTATATATGATTGTGGTGCTATACGCTCGACGCTGCACAATTTTCGTTCACCTTCGGTGAGACGGGTATACCCAGGCATGCCTGTAAAGGGGAGGAATATTGTTTAAAAGTTCATTTAAACACGGCCAAGTTACTAAGACAAACCCATAATGTCCATTGGGCCAGGCTTCTTTCTGGGGTTAGAACCTGCATGCGCCGTTGCGAACGGATTGGGTACGAGCATTTGAGGGCTTGGCATTAGCTTACGCCAATCGTGCAGTTGTCGGGATGTATCATCTTTTAGGCGATCGCGTTGTTGCTGAGCGCGCCGTTTCTTCATTTTGAAGTACAATGCACCGCCTTCAAGTGTGCGCACGCCATTCTGACGTAGCTCATACAAGCTATAAGGAAATTTGGAAAAGTTTTTAGTAAAGGAGTAAAAATAAATTAAATTAGTTTTACTGTTACCGATAAATCTTCTTTTGCACATCCGAAAAATATTTCAGGGACTCTACCAGCATGTCGTATTTAATCGGCTTGCTGATCTGCATAAAAGACAAGAAACGATGGCAATTCGATTCCGAGCCCAACGCCTCTACATACTTCGAGATCCAACCCAACGTGCGATTGGGCATGATCAGCCCGTGGTCACGCATTATTCGATATCTGCGTTTACGTTCTCTGGAAGTTTAATGGTAAATCTTAGCTTTGTGGTAAATACAATATTTAATATGCAGCACATTTTTAAATAAAAATTACCTCAATCGATTATTATAAGCACGGACTACTGCTAATTGCAGTTCCTCATACGCAGCACTGCTTATTTCGTCAATTGGCTCATCGTCGTCACTCGCAGTAATGGCAGCGAAGCTATTTTGCATGATTGTCGTTAGCAAATCTTCAGCTGAGTTATCGTATGGAGTATCGAAGTCCCCACGCGCACATCGATATCCCGCCATCATTTTAAATTGCATTGAGCCTGGCTCATCACTGCGTGGCGGATCAACAGAACGCATCTTTACAACATACGGCATGCGTTCGGGGAAGTACGCATTTTTGTGGTGCGTCAAACCAAGTAAACGCTCAAATATTCCACCGAAGTAGCAGTTATGATAATGTTGGCGACATTCCTCAGCAGTGTGCCGAGAGTTTAGTGCTTGTTCAACGGCCTCCCAATTGCCATAGCCTTTTTTCTCTAATGTACGCAACAAAATACGCTCATCCTTCGCCGTCCAGCTACCAGCGCCCGCAAATACTTGTATATCATCGCGTATAATAATGTAGGAATGCGTATTTAGATGCGTCGCCGTCTCACGTCCTTGTGCAAAACATTGCAAACACAATAGCGTATGTTCACAATCCGGACACTTTATGTACGGTTCGTACAAATCACACTTGCAAGTGCTGCAGTGCTCCGAGTTATTTACACCAACTTTAATGTAATCAGTATTATTTATGTGCATGGCTTTGTTGCGTAGCTCTAGCGCTTTGTTGAACTCTTCAGCGTGATAGTATGCTGTTGTATATTTCGTATCCAATGTAGGGCGAACTTTGATGATGCCGTGTTGACAGCTCGAGGAATTTTTTGATGAAGTTGCGCTAGACAAATTGTTTGGAACATCTAACTCGACTACAAGATGAAAATAATAAAATATTGCTTTCGCCCAGTAGTATCGCATCATAAACCTTATTACAAACTTTTATATTTTTACTTATGGCTGCGCGTTTCACTTGTAGACAACACATGCTGCAATTGGATTGCTTTACTTACCCTTTGGAAATTGAAGATCTGCCGCATCTTCCTCTACCATATCCACCGGATTCATGAACGACATTTTGTATATTTTTTGTTTCTTTAACTATTTAAAAGCACAAATTATTTTTTAAGTAAAATATTGGTGAAAATCGCAGCTAAAATAAATTGTCATGACGCGAAAGCGGCTTGGGCTGACATAGAGCTGGGATACTATCGATAGTAATATCGATACTATCGATAGTTGAAAACTGATGCCTCTATCGATAGTTTTTGAAAAATTTTTAGTTATTGAATTTAGTTATCGAATTATAAATCTTGAAATTTTAGTGATTTTGTAGTTTTTTTTATGTTTTGTACAACTCTTATAAAAAATTAGGAGACACTAAACAAAAAAAAAAAAGGTAAAAACTATTAAAAATGTTGTGGTGCTATTATTTTGACCAGTACTTTATCCGTTTCCTTATAATATGGTAAAATGTTAATAATTTCCTTTTTCCGGATTTTTTTAAAGTATGATGTGTCATTTTAAACGAATATCTTTTGTTTTGTTTGTTTGTTGTATTAGAAATGTATTATTATAGCCAATTTCTCTTCTTTGCACTTCAAAAGGGACAAACAAAATCACATTAAAAAAATTCAGATTTTGCCTGTCGCTATTCAAGTGGATGCAAGTGTATGTATGTATATAAGTATATATAATTCCTTTCATTTATTAAACAAATTGATTAGTACAATAAGATCTTAAAGCTCTTTTATAGTACAACAGTAATTATAAAGCACAAATATAAAACAACGAATAAATTAATAAGTTTATTTTATTATTATAAGAAGTTCTTTTTGATGCACTAAATTTTAAACAAATTTATATAATCTCTTTAATTTACAAACTAATTTATAAATTTTATAAATTTATTTATTATTTAATTTTCAAACAATTTAGCATTTCAATTCAATACCTCTCACGACGATAGTACTATCGATACTATCGATGTTTTCAACTATCTTTTCGAAAACTATCGAGTGGCGTACTATCGTTAGTATCCCAGCTCTAGGCTGATTTGACAGTTCGCGAACGCTGTGCTGCCATATCTGGATAAAATTAAAAACTACGACGTCGGATTTTAGGGTTGTGTCTTAGCTAGTTTCGTGCAAAGAGAAAGAAGGTAAGGGCCGGTTTCACAATCTGACCTTAAGTTCTAGTGGGTGCACTTTGAAATGGAGACCCCCGATTCGGGGATTAAAGGTGGTACCATTGGAAAGCTGGATTCCTCCGCTTTTCAGATATACCCCCTTTTAGGTGTGGGAGCCTTCTAGTTTTTGAGATATTCAGTATTAAAGTTTTTTACTTGCTTAGTAGACAATACTTACCAAAGAACGTAAAAGAACGTAGATTTACCTTCTTTGCACTTACCTTGTTTATATGAATCTTCAATTCGTTCTAAGTCAAACCATGTTATTTGGACATACACAGGTAAACACATTCTTGAATCAAATTGAAACTTGTAACCGTGCCATCATAAATCACATTTTGAATGCGAGTTACGAGTTATTGAATCGTGTTAAGAGTGCATGTAAACATGGGATTTGGCCACACGGTTGATTTATGCAACTCTGTATGAAGTAAAACATTTGAATAGTTCTTGAAATTACATTTAGGCTAAGCTTTCTTATAAAATTAATAGCTAATATACTTTTTACCAGGCTGTTTGAGTTTTTTATTATTATTTTTACATGTTTATTATTTTTAAGTAAAAATTGTAATGTTCTCTGGCATAATCTTAATATAAAAGTATTTTTGTAAGCACCCTGTGCAGATTTGGCAAAGTTCACCAATAGTTGACCAACTTCCATGAAACACGTCGGACAGATGTCGCTTTATTTTTTGTTGCAAATTTTCCTTTTATTCGATTCGTAAACAATGACTGCAACAAGCGAAACTGATGAAAAAATAACTTTAACGCTTTTAAATGGCACTGGATATGTTTTTCGCGTGGACGGTAAACATATATCTTAACTAGGATTGCTTAGGTAATAAACAGATTCATATTTATCCTTAACAGACTACATCACATTGCGACGGAAACATCGCATTGTGGGCGCGCTGGTGGGCACGTGCAGCATCCGAGGCTGGTCGGCGAATGATTGCAGTAAGTTGGAGAAATTTGAGATAAATAACTACAGTTAAGCCCCTTCCTTAGCTTTACCACTGGAGCTAACGCCGCATGAGACACGCTTTCTGGTGGAGCGAGGCATTGCTCAACTAGTTTCCAAGCAAGAATCTTTACTGCGAGTACCAGAAGCTAGCGAGCTTGTTCAGTATCATGAGCAGTTGGAGGCAGGCTTCACTGCACAGGCGGAGACATTAAAAGCTCAAAAGTTGCGAGAGACGGAACGCAACATAAGCAATATACTGGCTGGGAAGCGAAAAAAGCTGTTAAGAGAAGGAGTAGCGGAAGCTGGTAACTCAATTTGAAAATCATTTCAAAAATAATATCCTACTCTAGTTCATTTTCCTTACAGATATTAAACTAGATGCTGCGCAGATACTGCAAGAAATAGCCGATAATTTCGTTTTTGATCGCAAAAATGCGCAACTGGAAATTGCTTGCGCGCATCCACAGCCACTTGGTAAGTACGTACATAGGGCCTGTTCGAGGCACTAATAAACAATCGTGGTACAAAGCTCAATAAAAATATTAAAAATAAAATGTTAATAAGCCACAATAACATTGACAAATTGACGAAAAATTGCAACATTGTTGCAACTGCCCAACTGATAATACATTGCTGGAAATTCGCGCAACACTGCGGTTGTGATTGCAACTCGAACAAGCCCATACTTTCAATACTTTCTTATTTTTATAATGCGCCAATTAAAAAAAATTTATAAATATTTCAGTAAATAAAACCGTGGAGCCGCCTTCTATTGAGAATCCCCTCAAATATCAAGTATTTAGCGAGTTTTGGACACGTGGATATTATGTCACTGCAGGCGATTCATTTGGCGCTGATTTCTTGCTTTATCCTGGCGATCCACTACAGTACCACGCATCACACATTGTAGTACTACTCAAAACGCCTGTGGTGGAGCCTTTGCACTTGATTACCAAAGTGCGCTTATCTGTGATAGTAAATAAGATTTGCATTTTTGCTTACTTTGTTAGTGAGGAAGAAGGAGACGATGCTATGGATGGTGCTGGCTCAGATCGTAAGGTTCATTATCAAACTGTGCGGTGGGAAGGTAATAGAGACAAACTAGCTGCAGCCGCAGGTTCGAGTGGAGAAAGCTGATGCAAAATAATAAAAAGTAGCAAATCATATAACTTACGAAAATGGCTAAAGCTGAGAGATTCAGTTTTAAATAAATTCTAATGACTTTGTCCTTTGTATGTATGCAATTACATAAACAAAATTCTGTTAATATAACTAAACTGAAGAACAGGTATTGCCATGCCCTGCATTTGTATAAATATATGCCCATAAGAAATTTCATTAATAAATACGTTCGAACTCATTTCTGGCGACCAAGCATTGGACCCGACGACGAACAGATTATACGACGATTTGCCAAATGAGTGTCCGGAAGGCGGAGAGAAACCCCATGACTGGAAAAATCTCTTCGTATGCCCGGAAAACCCGACAACCCTAACGCCGTTGTCCCTGTGGACCGACCCTATTGAGGCTGCACGCTTCTTAGGGCTTCCGTTAGTGGAGCTTGACGACAATGACTGAGATATTAACCGATTTGGTCGGGGTACCGACAAGTAAACAACGGCATTCAAAGGGAGTCGGTCACCACCTACCACGACTCGTTCCCACGACAGCCGGTTCTACGTACCGGAATGACTCGGGTTTCACCCGACCAAGGGCTGTTGTTTCGGCGATCTAACCCCGTTTAGGTCGGCGAAGTGTCTCAGAAGTTGTTCGTCCATAGGGCAACATTCACTACGCATTCTCCTACTCAGGGCTGGCATCGAGTCAAACCCTGGGCCAGAAATATACACCTGCTGTGTATGCCGAAGACGATTACACCACAACTCCACCTCAGTCAAGTGTAATGCCTGCGAGGGGTGGAGTCACCTCAGGGTCTGCTCGGGACTACGGACACACAGACAGTGGACCACGTCGTACGTGGCCCCCTGTTGCTCAAACAGAGCAGCCTCCACGGCAAACCATAGTCCGCCCGTGCAGCCCCACACACTCACACGGCAACCACACACAGTCGCCACAACACAACAACATAATAACACCACAGACCGTACCACAGCCACCACAGACCACATAACACACACAACCGCACCACCACCCACACGCCGCCGCCAACAACTCCTGGTTCCCCCTACAATCTGCACGGTATGTCAGACCAGAATATTCCGTAATGTGACATCAGTCAAGTGCAACACCTGCCTTGGCTGGTGCCACTTTAGGGCATGTTCAGGTCTGCGTACCACGCGAGATTGGACGGGGAACTTCGAGGGCCCGTGTTGCGCTGCTCGGTCGCAGACGTCAATTGCGACGCCCCCCCACCACCACCACAGGGCGGCAATCACCTCAGCAGCACACACAGCCAACGGCGGCAAGAACATACACCTCACTCACACCCCACATCACGACACGTCTCCCGAACCACATGAAGCTCCTCCAATTCAACTGTAACGGGCTACAGAGCAAGATTGAGGAGATAACCGTCTTCATGTGTCGGCATGGTATATTAATAGCTGCGGTCCAAGAGACGAAGCTGCACAGCAATTCAACTTTGTTGAATTGCGCCGGGTACAACGTGCACCGTCGAGATCGCGAGCGAGATAATGGTGGTGGCTTAGCGTTCATCACGCACCACACCGTGCAGTATCGTCTTATCGAAGCAGACATCGACCGCAGGGATACCACCCTAGAATGTCAGGGCATCGCTATCCGGTCAGGCGATGTCGAGCTCGAAATATTTAATATATACATACCCCCTGTCACCTGCTGCCCGGCAGGATATCACCCTGATATAGGTGCGCTCCTCAGAGGTGAAAACCGTATGGTAGTAGGTGACTTTAATGCGCACCCCGATCTTTGGCACTCAAGCCTGTCAAACGATCGTAGGGGAACAGACTTGGCTGAGCAGATAGACGATTCGACATTCTGCACAATGAACGACGACGCACCCACCAGGATTATGGGTAACTGCAGTAGCTCGCCAGACATCACAATAGTCAGCGCTGGTCTGATAAACAGCATAACGTGGCGACCTATGCTGACTCTAGCATCAGACCATCTACCCATAGTCATCTCGATTGATAAACCAACCGACTTTGCCTCCGCCAAACACCGGACCTATATCAACTTTTCCAAAGCTGATTGGAAAGGTTACGCGGAGTTTACCGAAAACACCTTCGCAGCGCTCCCCACACCAACCGACGTCCATCTCGGTGAACGTAAGTTCCGCAGGGCTATCACGGCTGCTGCAGCTCGCTTCATACCGGCAGGACGTATATCGGACCCACGTCCAAACTTCCCTGCCGAAGCGGCTGTTGTAGCTGAAGAGCGTGATAGCCTTCGTCAGGCCGATCCCGGAGATCCCCGTATCAGGGATCTCAACGCGGAGATTCGGCAACTTGTAAACGTACATAAGCGGAAGAAGTGGGAGGAGCACCTGAAGACTTGTAATTTCACCTCTGGTGTGAGCAAGCTTTGGTCAACCGTGAGGTCATTGTCTAATCCGACGAAGCACGACGACAGAGTCGAAATTTCCTTCGGCGACCATGCTTCGTCGGACCCGGAGCGATGCGCGAGCTATTTTAGCCGGCAGTTCATACTGCATCCTTCGGTAGACAAAGCCAAGCGTCGAGTGACCAGAAGGCTGCACAAACTGCCAACAACTTGTGCCCCCCTTGCTTTCACTTGCGGTGAAGTTCAGGTGGCCATCGGGAAGGCGAAAGCCTCCAAAGCCATGGGTCCCGACGGAATATGCATGCTGATGCTGAAAAATTTGGGTCCTGCGGGGGTAGCGTACCTAACGGAGGTCCTCAACCTGTCAATGGCCACTCTCATCATCCCAGACATCTGGAAGGTGGGGAGAGTGGTCCCACTGCTCAAACCGGGGAAACCCGCCAACAAAGGAGATTCGTATCGTCCGATTACACTCCTTTCCCCGGTAGCGAAGACACTCGAGGCCTTGCTACTCCCGTACTTCACAAACCACCTGACCCCAGCGAAGCATCAGCAATGGTTTCCGTAAAGTGCACAGTACAACAACAGCACTTAACGCCATAAACACTAAGATAACTCGTGGCCTTAACCGCAACCGTCCCTGTGAGAGAACGATTCTAGTAGCGTTGGACTTGTCAAAGGCGTTTGACACCGTCTGCCATTCCACGCTGCTAGAAGATATAGAGGCCTCCTCTCTCCCACAGAGGCTCAAACGGTGGTCGGCAAATTATCTGAGTGGTCGACATTCGTCGGTAATATTTAGAGACAAAACGAGTAAGCAGCGAAAAATAAAACAGGGGGTTCCTCAGGGTGGTGCCCTTTCCCCGCTACTGTTTAACTTTTATATTTCAAAGCTCCCTCAACCACCAGAGGGAGTCTCGATTGTCTCCTATGCCGACGACTGCTCGATCATGGCGACTGGGAATGGAATTGATGACCTGTGTTTGAAAGTAAACGGCTATCTCTCCGAACTTTCTCGCTTCTTCACTGCAAAGTGTCTAGCCCTCTCCCCTACGAAATCCTCCGCGACCCTGTTCACAACCTGGACGAAGGAGGTCAGGCTACCGCTGGGGATTCACGTCGATGACACACCAATTCCGACGGTGAATAACCCCAAAATACTTGGAGTAACATTCGACAGTCTGCTCTCCTTCTCTGCGCACTCAACCGCTATTGTCAATAAAGTACAGAGCCGCAACAAGGTCCTCAAGTCGCTAGCCGGCAGTACTTGGGGCAAAGACAAAGAAACGTTGCTGGCAACATACAAGGCAATAGGCCGGCCAGTTTTGAACTACGCAGCGCCAGTGTGGTCGCCAGGGACTAGTAGGACGCAGTGGACGAAGCTACAGATGGTACAAAATACGGCACTTAGGACAGCGACGGGATGCCTCCTGATGTCGCCTGAACACCACTTGCACGGCGAGGCGCAAATGCTCCCAGTTAAGGAGCATAATATAATGCTCTGCAAGCAGTTCCTGATAGGGAGCCACAGAAGTGGCCACCCAAGCAGACAGCTGCTTGCAGAGGAGCCCTCGCCTAGGCACGCCTATATGAACTGACGGACGAAGTCCAGAGGTTCATTAAGCAACCTCTGGACTCGACAGCGTACAGACAGGCCCTGAACGGCATTCACAGGGACTCAGTCTCGAGTTATGTAGACTCTAGACCTGTGAATGCCGTTCTAGGCATACCACCCCCGGACATAGACGAGACAGAGCTTCATCTGCCTCGGGAGACACGCACTACACTCGCTCAACTTCGCTCCGGCTACTGCAGCAGGTTAAACTCCTACTTGAGTAGGTTGAATGAGGATGTGCCGAACGAATGTCCGGCATGCGGAGAGACCCCACATGACTCGAACCATCTCTTCGCATGCCCGGAAAACCCGACAACCCTAACGGCCTTGTCCCTGTGGACAGATCCCACAGAAGCTGCACGCTTCCTAGAGTTGCCGTTAGTGGAACTTGACGACAACGACTGAGATACCAACCGATCTGGGCGGGGTTGTTGTAGCCGCTACAACAATAACAACAACTCGTTCCCACGATAGTCGGTTCTACATAACTGGAACGACCCAGATTTATATTTGACCAAGGACTGTCACTCCAGTAACTTTCCCCAAAAACTCTTTGGGGAACTTGTACGCTGCTACAACAACAACAACAACTCCTGGCCTATGAATGCCTTGATCGGAGCCTAATCTCGCAGCTTCAACTACCAAGAGAGATCCGGATATTGTAGCCGTCTCAACATATACCTGTCCAGACTTGACCCCAACAACCCCAATGAGTGTCCGGCATGTGGAGACTTCCCCCACGACACTAACCAACTCTTCAAATGTCGGCTCAATCCCACTCAGCCAACACCCCTTTCTCTTTGGTAGGACCCCTTCGAAAGAGCTCGTTTCTTAGGACTACCGTAAGTCGAGCTTGACGACAACGATTGATGGACAAACCTAACTTAGTGGGGCTTATTAGTGCCGCTACAACAACAACAGCAACGATTCGAGGTACATTCGATATCGAATGCCGCCATTCGGGTCCTGCCAGTCGTCGGAAAGCCATAAGGTTATTAATGAAGTAGGTTCCAGGTCCATACTACCACAGAATCTCCCAGTGTTCTCTTTCTAAGTAGCGGAGCCCGTAGACGATCGTAGCCTGACCAGAATATCTGATAATTAAGGATATGAACAACAAGATTAGACGATTATTCAACGAAAACAAGCGAAACAAACTTACTAGTATTCTTTAACCTAGAGGCAAGAACTAGTCAACTTTTTGTTGGCGGTGGTCAAGTTTC